ATGGCTACAAATTAGGCAAATAAATATGTATTTAAAAGTTTAAGATATCGATTATGTTGAGGGGAATTGCTTTGATATTGGTGATTACAGCTGGCAAAAAAGGAATGATTAGGACATGTTCGCAGAATATGTAGCTCTGTGAAAAGATAAAGTATAACCACCTTTATTAGTTGGAAGAAAACGATGCTAAAAAAATCAGCAAAAAAGTCATGGACATTCTGTGAGCTGAACGTACTTGTTCGTTGTGAAGTCGTAGGCCTCACATGAGGCGGTGAGGCCCTCCTCGTTCACCCCGCCGGCCACCACGATCTTTCCCTTGTGGATGACGGCTCCGAACATGGCTCTGGGTGTCTTCATGGCCGCCATCTCCCTCCACTCAGACTGCTTGTGGTTGTACACAAACACTTTGTTGAGCGCTTTGCTGTAGGGGAAAGGGAAGGGGGGGGGGGTATTGATAGTCAAAATGTGTCAAAGATCAGCTAGAAATGTTTTTTTTCACATCAAACATCTTTTTTTTTCCCCCTTCAACTAGGCACCGACAAACAAAGAAAACCTCTGAAAGAAAGAAAAATTGTAACGTAGAAGCCTAACAATAAAATAAAGTGTCATTTTGGACTGTTGGTACTTGAATTACTTAAAGAAATGACTTAAAATATTAGTTTGAATGTAACAGGAAGATAATGTCAACCGCTAACGTTTTGTCACATTACACCCACCAACTTGGATGTGTCTTTAGATTTTATGTGGCAGGCTGACAAAATATCACATAATTGTGAATTAGAAAGGAATTGTTTTTATATAGGAAATTAAAATTCAGCATGTTCTGCCACAAATTAAATCCACTTTGTGCAAATTCAGCAAATATGGTAGCAGCAGCAGCATGCTACAGGGATAAACACTGTAAATACACCATTTATTAATGCAGTGTGTAATGTAGAGGGGTTTTAGATAGGGGGAAAATAAGCTAATACTTTTATTTTCATCAAAAAATTTGACGTTTTGTTAAGTTAACTTCAAATGTGTATTTTATCAGTTAAATGTTTGATTCTTTTGTCTAACAGCTCAGTTTTCCTCTCCATGTGGTAACTGGCAGCTGAAATAGCTGGACTACTATTAGTCACAGCCTTTAATTCAAGTGAGTTTATTAGCCGTGGCATCATCGTTCCTGGAAAACAAGGGTGATTTGTGCGCCAGTTCTGTGGAAATAAACAGTAGTCGTGTTATACCTGTAAAAAAAAAAGGTCAGGTCAGGATTTTCCCGTTATTGTTGTGTGTTTGAAAACCCTGGACTGTGGTTCTGTAATCATGGTCTGAGATGTGCATCCTGCAGTTTTCCCGGCTTGCAGCATGATGGATCAGGAACAGCAGCTGTTCACGGCATTAGCGCGGATACACACACACACACACACACACACACACACACACACACACACACACACACACTCACTTGTCATCTGTTTTTCCTCCGATGCAGTAGATCAGTCCTTTGTGTGACACGACGGCGTGGCCGTGAATCTTCAGAGGAAGCTTTTTCGTTTCGGTCCATTTCATCTTCCTAAAGAATGCCACATGTGTGGAAATATTAAAATATGGTGCAACATTCGGGCATATTTCTATCCTGAGTTTAAACAACACTTGAGTTATAGCATTGAATCCTAAGTTTTGTTTTTACACAATCATTTACACGTTATAAATTTGCATGTGCCGATCACGGCAAAGCTCATTAGAGAACGTGAGACTAAATAAAAAACATATTTATACATATGGATTTATTTACACTTTCTTTTTTAGCACTAAGAGAGTTGTTTATTTTTCTGAAGTTAATTATCACCTGAAAAAGTGTGCATGAAGTGAGAGACAGAGTCAGGGAGGCTGGGGGGGAACAAATGTGAGAAGAAGGCGTAGCATGAAAAGAAAAAAAGTAATACCACTAACTCAACATCGTAGCACATCACGGTGTCCAGCGACTCGTTGGTCTGGAGGTCCTTTCCAGCCACAGCGAACAGCAGGTTCTGACTCTCACCGATGTTGAAAAGGCATCGTGGAGAAGGCATGGGTGGCATGGCAACCCACTCAGATGTGAGGGGATCAAACTAAGGTGTGAATAAATGACACAATAAAAAAAGGACCCTTATATGTATTGGTTACTGTGAAGAAATAAGCATAAAAGACAACATAAATTTCACTGGAAACCTTCTGTTTACTGAAAAGGTATTTGTTTTTTGAGTTCTTTAAAAAGCCAAAAGGGACTAAGTTAGATTAACAATAACACTTTCTAATTAGATTGTCATGCAAGATAATGGTATGTGTCATTTGCAGAAAACATATTTCAAAAACACTGAAAATATTTATTACAATTGGAAATAAAATGCTCTTGTTAAGAGCTTAAAATCAGAAAGTAGCTACAACAGACAACAACCTTTACTTTGTCTATCTAATATGAGACTATAGGTAGCTAGAGAGAAGATATTTTCGATAAGTGCTTAGGTGGACAAAAAGAATAAATTGTACCGCAGTGAGCCAAACCAAATTAATCTTAATTTAAAAGCTGATTTTCTGATTTGTATCCCAAATTTAACCCAAGGTGTACTTGTCCTTAAAATGTATTCAAATTGAATACATTGAGCATGTCTTCAAGAATGGCAACATTCTTGAAGACATGCTCAATGTATTCAAGAATGTTTGATTCTTGTTGTCATTCTCGAAGACATGCTAAAGGTATCTTCTGGTTCTGTGCCTGCAGTGTTTCTCAAGCTATGCTAGACATACCATTTCATGATTCTAGCAGTTAACAGAATAGGCGTGGTAATAATCATTAAAAAAAAAAAATCTTCCCAAGGAAGCCATTGTAAGAGTCTTTCTGAAATGGACATTGTGTGAATTTACCCAACTGAAGGATAAATGGCCCAACAACTTATTTGGGTGATTCAGGAGATGCTCACCAAGTAGAAGTAGCATTGCAAAGGCACGTCCTTGTTATCCTCATCCACAAACAGTCCTCCAATGATGTAGAGCTGATTCCGTTGCGTCACCAAGCTAACGTGGTTACGAGGGACCTGCTCTGACATAGCGGCAAGGAAGCATTCGTTCTCATTGACGTCATACGCCACCGCTGCTGTGTCATTGATCATCAAGACGAAGTCGCGAGCAAACATGCCATGTCTGCGGTCATCATTGAGGAAACCAGGGAATGGGCTGTCTTCTTCCTCGCCTTCCTTGCCTGCTCCCTCCTCACCCTCTTTCTTCACAGGTTTGTCGGGAAGTTTCCCCTTGAAGGCATCCTTGATGACCTGCATCATCTTCTGGAGTTCTGGGTCAGCTTTAATGATCTCGTCATTCTCCACTTTTTCTTTGAAGTACTTCTCCGGCATCAGTCGGAAGCGGATACAGTTGAAGGCATCCTTCAGGACCTTAACACGTTTCTCTTTGTCGTGGCGGGCCCAGGCCATTACCGCCTCAAACACCAGCTCCTCTTTCTCAACGTTCAACGAGTCCCCGCCTATGATGGCGAACAGTTCATGGGCCGCAAGCTTGAGGAATTCCTCGTCCTTGTGGAGAAGCTCAAAGCGATCTGCGATGTAATTCCGTGCCGCAACGGCAAGTCTGGGACAGCTGAGGACCAGGCCCATCCTGAAGATGGCCATGCAGTTACCCAGCGAGAGTTTCTTCTGAAGATAATTGACGCAGACTGTGAAGACAGAAGGGATTTGGAATCTGTTTGCCACAGCAATGATATCCTGCACATTGTCATCAGTGAGGTCAATCTCAGCCGAGTAGAGGTACTGGATAATCATGTCCAGGACAGAAGGGTTGACGTCATCTAGGACTACCTCTTTGGTGTTTTCCACCTCCTTTCCATCCTCAGTGAAGAAGATATCCCTGAAGTAAGGGCTGCACGCGGCCATGATTAGCCGATGGCATGGGAAACTGCGGTCGCCCACTTTCAAGGTACAGTCCACAAACTTGTTCTCATTGAGAAGCTCCTTCAGCCCGTCTTGGAGGAGAGTGCTCTGAAACAGCCGCAGCTCCTCCTTGATGGCGTTGGGGTCCATAGCTTGGTCAAAGAGGGGTAAGGGCACCAAAACAAAAGTGTCTGTGGACAACGGAAGGAGATGGTCGCCAAAGGTCCTTTTGGCAGTAAGTCCTGGCTGGAAAAGGCTGAGCAGAGAAAGGGTTCCTGGTGTGAAGACCGAGCAATTCAATCCACCCCCCTCTAAATATAGCTCTCTCTAACCCCAGCATGCTTCAGTGGAATCTCAATGGGCCAAATCAGAGAACAGCCCCAGCATTGGACTCCAGCACCTGCCGCTGCAGACTGAAAGTAGCAACTGCTGGGATATTTGGCTGGAGACACGCCACCATGATTCAGCTCCCAGAGTGTCATGTGGTCCATTTACAGCAAAGACAATGCTGTCAAAGCCCCCTAAATAGCTAGCTAAAGTCACACATGAGTGAGAGGATATTCAGAGCACTGGCTGTCATATTCAAAAATATGTGCTGTTCTTTAGACATCAATTCATTTTCCAGTCCGCATGGAGTTTAAAATCACCTACGAAGTGACCCCAGACACCTCAAGAGTAGAGATTTCACTTCAAGAGGAATAAGTAATCACAGCACTACTCTATATGAGATAAGATCTGTCTCTTACAGTCTTCCACTGCTTCCCAATTTTTCAAATTACAGTAAATGGTTTGACTGTTAACCTTTTTGACTGTAAGTTGCATTACACGTTGTCCACATCCACAATCCGGAAAAAAATATTTGTTCATGAAAGGTTTTGTTTATCATAACACATGATTTCCTCATTATCCGCATGTTGCCTTCGCTTTGTTTTCTTGTTACCCATCTTAGCGTTAATTAGCAGACACTGGAGAGACACACTGAGCTATAATTGGACCTAAAAAGTTTCTAGTGTGGCAGCTGTGAGCAAAAACAGGTGAGAGTCACACAAACAAGTGGCAATTTCCACAAATCAGCAAGATGAGTTTATTTTCTTTTTTTCTCCTGTGTGCATGTCTCAAAACAACGCAGTCGGAGATTTTCATTTTAGAATTAGAAATATGTTTCCTTTCGTTGCTGACATAAATGACGTCCGGGTGCTTGCAGCCACGTCTTCCCTGTGAAATGATAATAAATGCCATAAATTAATGTGTCTGGATCGATAGACGCTTATTTGATTCGGTCTTATTTCTGCAGCCTGATGATGAAGTTTGAAGAGGCCGTGGAGTTGGGCAACATTTCTCGGGCACTAAAGATAGATCAGACTGCGCCACATGTCGAGGAGTCGCTAAAATGTAATTTAAGCAGAAGGGGAGAGAGCTGATGTGCGTAAGAGAGCTCTGCTGCTTCCTTAAAGCTACAGTGATATTTAGGAAAAATTAGATTGTGTTGCACTTTACACTGATTTGAAAAAGTATTCACACAGTTTCCATGTGTTTAACAGGGATTTTGTATGACAGAAAGTTGTACATTTTAATTTGTAACGTGGAAGGAATTAGATGGTTTTCAGTTTATTGGCTCCAGCTCCGTCAGATTAAACGTAGATCTTTAATTGAATTTCAATCAGGACTTTGACTAGGCCATTGTAACACATGAATGTGCTTTGATCTAAATTATTTCATTGCATATTTAAGTGAAAAAACTAAATTCTCATTATTTTAAATGTAAAGGCCATTGTTGCAGGAAGGGTGGATGCTATATTAATATGAATTTTAATCACAAAATTCATTCCGCCACCTGAAATATTAATCATTAATGAGCATTTCACATATTTTAATTAATATCTTATTTATTTCAATGGTCAACACTTGTAACCAAACATTACACAGTACAGTAAAGTATGCATTTCTGCGTTCAGTACATCTGGGTATTACAAAAACAAAACAGCCTCCTACTGAACTTGAAGCTTCAAATTCAGAGGCATGAGCACATGTTGCCCAGTAGAGGGCGATATGTGCGTCAGTTTAACCCTTTACCTCAAGTGGAAGAAAGGATGAAGAAAAACTAAAAAAAGTCACATTTTATATTATCAAAAACAAACAATTGTACACAATTATTTCACAAAGAGAAAGTTATTTATAATGTTTGAACGTCAGTGAAAAAGTCTTCAACCGTCTCATGTTCTTTTAGTTTGCCATGAGTTTTAAAAGATTTTGCTTTAGATTATTATTTTTTTAGTTAAAGTTATGAACTAGATTAATGTAAAATATTTTACTCTGTAATGCAGAAGCTCAGAATTTGAGTCTCGAAGGAGGAGCTACGTCCAACCGGGTGTTTTATACAGCTGAACAGTTGCCATGGGAGACTACAGGCTCTCTCAAACACGCATGAAAGAATCAAAGCATCACTCCAGGTGTGTTTTTGATAAGGGAATAACATCCTAACATCGTGTAAAGCTGCAAAAAGTTGATTTTACATAATACTGTCTCTTTAATACATGTTTTAATTTAAGTTCTGCATTCGGTTTTGTGTGGACAAAACAAATGGTTCCTGTGTAACTTGCTAAAGGGCATACATTCAAACATTAATATGGATTGAATTTATATGTATACTTGCATATGGTGAAAGAGGATCCAAAATTTTAGCAAATTTGCACACCAAGTTTTAGTTTTTAAAAATTAACACCCCCCCCCAAAAAAAAAAAAAAAAAAAAAAACCAGGATTCAAATGTGTACTAAAGTGTCTTTTTCTAGATCTTAGTGATATGTGAATCAGCGTAATGTGGCTTAAAAGACTGAAAATGCAAACCTCACTTACTGCCTCTGACTGTGAGAACTTAAATAGAAGTACTTACACCGTACTGATTCACTGATGCTGCTTGTTAAGTTGCAGAGCTATGATTGTCCATGTTGTGCATACAGTTTTTTTTTTTTTCACTATCTTCACAGCACTCACTGAGTATGAGGGGGGAAAAAAACATAATGAAGTGTAGGTGAGAGCTTGTCTGTACACCTGAGTAGAAATGATCACCAAGAAAACAACAAAAAAACATGAAAATGTCTATAACACATTTTTTTTTACAAAATTATTTTTGTGATAAGTTGTAAAATATCACACACACACACACACACACAAAACGTGTGTGTGGGTTTTGCCTGAGAAAGTTTGACCCAACTTTCTGCAATCTGGTGGAAAATTGAAGAAGAAGAAGAAGAAGAAGATGCCTTCGCTCAGCCTCCTGAAGAAAACACAACATGCAGGAAAGTTAACAGCTCAAAACATGAAATCTGAGGTAACATTTTAACAAAAATAAGAACATAAAAGGAGGAGCACCTGCGACTCTGGAGACCACACATGTTCTCTTACACTCATCCTCGGTGTCGAAGCGGTTCCCGTTGCCGCCGCAGCCTCCGTACCAGAACTGGGCGCAAGCGTTGGCCTGCTTGTCGTAGTACCAGCGAATGTTATATTCTCGACATGTTCCCTGGTCCAGAACCAGCTCGCAGCGAGGGTCCAGGGGTACGGTCTCTGTGGGAAAACGTCACGCGATAAGAGGTAAAACACACACACGTACACACGTGGAAAAAAAAAAAAAAAAAAAAAAAAAAAGAGAGAGAGAAAAAAAAGAGATGGCTGCGGTAGAAATCCACCCCCAGAGTGACCATTTCCGCTCCGGTTCTTCAGGAAGGAGCTGGTTCCACAATAATAGCCGCAGTACTTCAAAAATAATTGGCCTCGCTGTTCCTCGCTTCGCTGCACGCGCAGCATGAAGGATACATCAAGCGAAGCTGTGTCCTTTCTGCCACCGGCTCACTAAAACACACACCGGCCCACTGCTTTACAGGAGATTCTAATCATGTCGCCGCACCGCAGGAGGTCCGGCATCCCCCGTAATGATTCTGACTAACTGTCAGAGGTGGAGGGTTTTAACGTTGTGTTATTAGCAGTTGTTGCTGCTTCGCTTTGCATGCGATTATCTCAGCTGTGGCTGCATGGAGGGAATTCTACGTTTCACTTCAGGTCTGCCCAGTAAAGACTGAAAAATTGGTGTATTAAAAAATAAAAAAAAGTAAAACTTTTGTGTGTTTATTGTACAGAAGAGAATTAGGGTCACTGAAAAAATAAAATCACTTTGTCTTAGTAAAATGTCAGAATTCTCTAGATAGAAAAAAGAGTAAATTTCTGCAACCAATCTCAGAAATTTTCTGGAAAAAACAAGAAAATTTCTTAGTTTGAAAAGATAAAAAATTTGCTAGAATTCACTAAACTTTTGAGATTAACCTCAGAAATATTGAAAAAGGATATGAAAGTTTCTAACTTTGGACTTTTTTTTGATTTTCTGAGTTCAGAAATTTCCATTTTTTTTTTCTTGAAAATTTCTGAGATTAGTCTAAAAGATTTTTTGGTGGAAATGTACTCCCTAATTCTGAGTTTGAAGTCAGATTTCAGAAAGGAAATTCAAAATTCTGAGCTTAAGGGAGTCTTTGTACCTTTGGGCAGAGCTGGCCTCGGCGGGGGAACGTACGGCACAGAAACACCTGAGGATGATATGCTTATGTTTGTAGAAGATGAAGATGAGGAAGATGAGCCCCCTCTGGCAGGAGGCGGAGTCTTGTAGTCGGAGGTGCCACGGTTAAACGTGTCCCCGCGTTCTCTTCCTGAGGAGGTTATCACCGTGGTTACACGCTGCCCTCCTCCACCCTGAGCACAAAGAAAGAAAAAAAACAGATCACAGAGTTTATAGAGCTTTAATAATATCCGTGTTTGTTTATTACACTGAGTTCCGTACATGAACAGTGCTGGATCCTTTACTGCCATGGCTGTTGGTGCCAGCACCAGCCTGCTGGCCGCTGAGATGGTCCTGCTGAGTTACGGGCCTGTAACCATAGCCACCGGTGGCGTAGCTCCCAGTGATCCTGTTGCCGTTGTAGCCGTTGTTTCCGTTGTAGCCGTTTGTTATCCGGTTGTATATCAGGGCCCCGTTTTCGTCCTCACAGAACTGACTGACCAGCTTGGACTCGAGAGCTGAAGAAGCAAAACACATGGAGAAGAGGATGATGAAGGAGCGCTTCCAAGTCTGTCAGATGAGCTTCGGCGAATTCATATCGTCACTGTGGAATGTTACATAAGCATGACTTTTTGAGTTGGAAAGACATGATCATTTATCAGTAAAATACTGTTCAGGAAAAGTTCTTTCAGGCTGTTTGGGCTTCAAATTCTTGGAATACATTATAATCATTAGACATAAGAAATATTAGGAAATATTCAGAAACATCACTTTAGTCAGTTGTGTCCAATTTTTTTGCCATTCTGAACAAAACAATGTCAATTTGAGAAGACTGAAGGGCCACATCTTTTTAAAATTAAAACTGGAAGGATTTATTTTGTATCGTTTTCTTCACTTCAGTAATACAATAAATAGACAATATTTTAATAAAACAAAGTACTGAAATTCTTGTAGAAAAGGAATCTGTAAATAATTATCAATACACAATATAAGCAGCATCTTGCAGCGTTGCTGTTTCAAATGATAGGTAAATATTTTTTACTACTTCTTTTTATGCTTTATTGTCCTGATTTTTTAAATCTCTTCCATCAATCTGCTAAGGACTGCAGAGGAAAATCTGGCATGTTTACGTGATGTATTCATGTATTCAATATGACAAATAAAATTAATAAATTCACATATCCTGGGGCAAACAAAAGAAAATGAGCTGAATAATATTTTTATTAGTTTTATGCTCAAACATTAGCTGGTTAGCAGTATTTCGGATAAAAAAATTTCAATTTCAAAGCCACAGTAATGCCCGTCATACCCAGAGAAAGTGCCAAAACGATTGAAATTATTTGCTGCTGCAAGGAAATCAAGGCACGCAGTTCCACCCCTCCCCCACTTGTTACTAGAACACCAGCCAGCTGGCTGGGAAAAAGTTACAGAGCCATCAAAGAATAATACCGTAAATATAAAATAGCCTAAAGCTCTTGGCGGGTGACCATCTGGGGAGGAGGATGGTTTGGGTTTGTGTTAGCCTTAGCATAAAACATTGCTCTCTGGCTACATTCATGCTTCCACAAACACAGCCTCCGTCGTTCACCGCTGCCAACGGTGGACAGCAGAGCCAACTGAAGGCCTGATCCCTTCACTGAGCCACAACAGGACAGTTTATCCAGCAAATCATGTAGGACGACTTCTATCGCTACTGTTTTGACACTCAAGTCTGTACAAAGTAAAGCAACGTAAAGAGGATTTTTTTAAAAACGGTTAAATAAGCAAGATTTTCAAGAAATACTGCAAAGAATTTACTTTTTTTTTTTTTTTACACTTTTAGCTTTAGGATTAACTAGATTACTTAATTCTAAACTTTATCAAAATCATATAAAATAACAGAACCCATAAAAGACAGAGATAGCATTTTATTTGCACTTCTCTCACTTTGTTTTTGTAAGTAAGCATGTCAATGTTAGCAGAAAATGCAGAGAAATTCCAGGGTTTTTAGCTAGCATTGCTTACATTCATTAGTTTGATCACCAAGCACAACAGTTGCAACACTATTGGCACAAAGATAAAAAGATAGTTGAGCTAACCCTAAAGCACTAAGAATAAATATGAGTTCCGCTAACGCTAATGGACCTTACCAACACGGTAATTGACAGAAGCTAATGCTAAAGTGCTAACTTGAGTTCAAATAATATCTGCCCTTGAAACACTGCAACCCTTGAGCACATAATAAATATTATATTTTACATGTTCTGTAATGCCTCTAGATATTGTATTTATGTTTATATCTTGTTTTATTATGTTACTGTACGTTTCTTGTTTGGAATTAAGCTACAAAAAAAGAACATAAAGAAACTGCTGTGTAAACAGTGTTTACCCACTTCAAAATAAGAGCACGGATATAAAAGTATATATAACTACTTAGGTTTTTATTTTGGTCTTTGAATAATCCTCCTCTGGAGGAAGTCACAAATCAGAAACCAAATAAAAATGTATGGGGTAATATGCTGTGCGCTAATATGGAGTGTGACATAGAGATGAGACACAAAAGGAAGACAGCTGCAGAAGCAGCAGGGGCAGGAGTGGAGTGAGAGCAGAAGCACTGCATGGTGGAGCCGTCACTTCGGAGAAATCTGATTCTCAGGAGAGCCTGATCGTGTTGTATCACGAATGTAATTAAAACACTAAATGGTTTTGAAAAGCCTGGAAGAGGATTGTGATAGTTTAAGTGGCACGTACAAAGAAAAACAAAGCAGAAAAGCAGCAAAGAGGGCCATGGTAGGTCTGGAGGAGTTCCACTGCTCAGGTGGAAAACCTGGCAGTTCAAATATTAGTTGAAGACTTAACAAATATAGTATTAGGGATAAGATAAGAAAATAAAAACAAATTTCGAGAATAAAATCATAAAATGATGAGAATAAAATTTAGATTTTATTAGGATAATATAATGCCTTTGCAATAACTAAAAAAACATATATTCTGTTTTTTAGTTATTGTTTTTTTCTTAGTGTGGCTCTAAGTCTCCATCGCAATATTTAAATATTTCTTTGTAAAAAAAAAAAAAAGGAAAATCACCTGGCAAAGTGTTGAAGTCATCGATCAGGAACATATGCTCGCTGTCCGGGTCCGACGCAATCAGGTTCAGCTCTTTCAGGAAGTCGGCCTGCGTTGGATCCGACGTGTTCACAATCCCCAGGGCGAACATCTCGATGTTGGCAGCGTGGGCTTCCCGCACGGCTATGTCCAGCTTGACTGGCTCCCGTTTGTCCGTCTGCCCATCAGTAATCACGATGGCCACCTTGCTGACGCCGATGCGGGAGCTATAGAAGGCCTCCTGTGTGGCTCTCCGGATGGCTGTGCCGGTGTAGGTGCCCTCACCCATGTACGGGATGTTCCTGATGGCCTCCTTGATGTCCTCTTTGGTGTTGTAGCGGGCCAAGTTGAACACCAATTTGACCTCCAAGCTGTACAATATCAAACCGATCCTCGTGGCGTTGCGGCCTACCGTGACCCGATCCACCAAGGTGGTCACGAAACGTTTGATGATCTCAAAGTTATCGGGCCCCACGCTCTCTGAGCTGTCGATGACAAACACCAACTCCATGGGCCTCTCCTTGCACTTGATCCCACATCCTAGAATGAGATCATGGCTGAAATGTCACTTTGACAAGGTTTAGTGGGTGAAATCTGACCTAGCCGTCTGCAGATAAGGCCAGACAGAAGCCAAACCCTCTCCCGTTACGTTTTCGCTGCTAATGCAATACCTTCAACTAGCAAAAGATCAGAAGATACTTTACCACAGATTTCTTTGATCATTCGAATGATGTCCTCTCTCTGAAATTAATACATGGTCAGAACATGAGCTCATAAGTGGCCGTGGTGGTAAATGACTGATGAGAAACAATAGGAAGGAGTGGGACTCACAGTGAGGCCTGCTTCCCCTTTTATGCCCGGAAGACCCTAAGATAAGGATGCAATGAGCTCAATCAGGAAGAAAACTGTCAAAGTGCTGAGAGCACCAAGGTTAACCTACCAGATAAATGCTATCTTAAATAGGAGGAAGCCTTCTTTCTACATCATAACCAGAACACAATCAAGTGCTCAAACACATTTCTTTCAGACTCAATGTAATAGAAAAAATCAAAACATCACTCACAGGTTGCCCCGGGATTCCCGAATCTCCCATTTCTCCCTTGAATCCTTTAAGCCCCCTCTCTCCTGACGAGCCCCGGTCACCCTGACGCATGAATCAAAACAAAACAGTTGCAATGAGCCTTTACAGGTGACCCCCAGATTATCCCGCGAAAGGGCAACATATTGACTGACTTTGGCTCCTGGAAAGCCCTCTCCAGGTACACCTCTGGGTCCTGTCACACCCTGGGCCCCCTGTTCGCCCTGAAGCACAAGCAATGTTCAAACAGTAAGTCACAAGGTCATATTTAACACCTAGATGAAATACATAAAAATATCTCTTAGAGTCAATTTATAATGACAGCCTACCTTGGGGCCTTGAAGTCCTAGTCCCTGTGGCCCTGTTGGGCCAGGTGGACCTGGTCGCCCAGGGTTACCCTGGAAAAACATCACATCCTGCTACTACTGCCGTACCATATCACTAAAATATGCACATTTATAGTCTGTGAAAGTATAACTTCATTGGTACAGAAACTCTTTATAAAGTTTGCAACAAAGAAGACAAAAACAAAGATTATTTGAATAAAATAAAAACAGTTTTGGTTGATTTCCTGTTGATAATCCTAAAATCGTCTTTAGAAAAGGTGAAGATGGGTGGGATTTCAGGGGATTAGAGGGTTGCCGGTTGGCCTTATGTGAAAAAATAATTGCCTGAATATAATAACTGGTTGTGACATCCCAGGTGGCAAAAACAATAGCAGGCAATGAGTCTTCTAAGTTAATGTAGACATATTTTGGTCTTTGCATAATCCAAGAATGGGCGAATGACTGAATGCAGAGTGAAGCGTTTGGGGTCCTCTGGGGGCCATACAGGCCATTGTCCAGCTGCATAACCCAAATGTGTTTGAGCTTATGGTCACCAATTGACAACAGCCATTCTCCTGCAGGAGTTTCTGCTACAGAGCAGAATTCATGGTTCCATCACTTACAGGAAGTCTCTCAGGTCATGAAGTAGCAAAGCTATGGTGTCCCAAATGCAAATACCAAAGCCACAGCACACAAACACATTTCTGTTGTGGAGTTTGTATTCACTTTGTGGATTTACTATGTGTGTTGCGGCAATTGTGTTTGACATGAGACATCTGGGCCACCGTACAAAGCAACCCCAGACTATTACAATATACAATTTCCCCTTTGGAATCAATAAAATACCACCACTGTGTTTGACTATTAGCTTGATGTCCTTTTTCTCAAGTACTTTATTAGTGTTATGGCACAGGAGACACACCTTTCAAAGAAATCTACTTCTGTCTCGTCAGTCCATAACTTCCTTTAGGGGAACTCCAAGGAAATTTCAGCACTTGGATCTGAATCTCAGATATAGCTATTAAAGTTAGCTTAAAATAAAAACCCATCTTTCCCAGCGTAACTCGTGTCTAACCTCATTTAGTTAGCGTGAACCATGCCTGACATCTGTCATTGTGATGTGCTTCCACACTTTGTTCCGCCTTTGGTAACTTTATCCGAGTCCCTAATTAAATCTTGCCCACTGCAAATGAGTGTGGAAGCACTGTGGCCTGCGGAGGCACCGGTCTGGAGCCCACAGGGGACAAGGGTGGGATCTGTGAGGACAGACGGGGTGTTGTTCAATCAATGCCTGTTAGGACAAGTGTTCCTCATCACACATGTGTCTGTAGAGATTCACACCCTGCTCTCATGGTAGTGCTGTTGGGGGTGATTGTATAAAATACGCTGAACAAATGAACAGGCGGCCGATACGTTTGCATGTGTGATGAAGCGGTGTTGCTCCTTAATGAATACGATGCACAAAGTGAAGATGGGGCTTTTTGCACAGGCTCAAGGTGATAGTTTCACTTTTATCCAATATGTTCTTTACATGTTGTATCTATGTTTGTATCTTGTTCTCTGCTTTCTGTGTTTTATTTTGTTTTTCTTATTTTCTTTTTACTTGTTTGAAACAAAGAGAGGAAACAAAACTGCCAAATTAAAACCTCACACCTAGCTTTTCAAATTTGTATTTGAAATTTAAAATCACTGTATAATTTAACTTCACATTTATGTTTTTTTTTTTTGTTGTTGTTTTTTTTGTTGGCCAATCAGATATTTTGAGGTTCATGGTTGAAACGCAGAGAATGCCAAACCCTAAAATCCTGCTTTCAAGTCATGGTTGCAGGATTTAAATTCAAACTTTGTAATTTTAAAGGTTAGGAGAAAGTTAAAAATGGAAACCCAACGGTTAAATGAAAACAAAGATTTCAAAATGGCTGTGAATCTACCGGAGGTCCCTGGATGCCTTCCCCTGGGGGTCCGGGTAAACCTGGAAGCCCTCGGAATCCACTGTCACCCTGAAAAAGTTGTGAAGAACGAGACGCTCAGCAGGAAAACGCAAGTACAGAGGAAAACATTTAATCTGTTTAATAAACTGTAATACAGATTCACCAACATTTTGTGACTCAAATATTGCAGTATTATGTGTGTTATGTCATTTTAGGGAGATTTTTGGCATTACAGAACCTGCAAGAACCTGCTCATAAAACACACCTTCAAAAAAGACAGAACAAAAAGCAAAAGCAGGGAGAGTAAAATTGTACATTTTTATGTTTAATTATAATGAACCAGAGTTTACCATCATTCTTTTACTCTAAATTAGCTCAATTTTTTTAATCAAAGAATCTTTCTAAAAGTGGGAATTTTATTCATATCCACTAAAAAGTGGAGATGCAGCTCAACATTGGCTGGCCACCATACTCGCCCTGGACATAAACTCAAAAGTCCAATGTTTTCCTGATCAGTGAATGCACCATAACAGGATTTTTAAAACAGACAACAGCATTTAGGCCAGTGCTGGTCTCTTTGGTCCTTCCCTACTTCCTGCCTTAGTTGTTTCATTCACAACTTTGAGTACAAAAGAAATCCCTCTGCCACAGGATGTTTGTTAGATTTGTAAATAAATGAATTAATTTGGAGACAAACTTAGTAGACACCTGCAGGACCAAACATTTAGACATTTGGAAACCAGACAGTTCTTAAAGAGAAAATGGAATTGGCTGACCAGAGACTGGAAACTGGCCACAATAAAGATTTCCTGGAGGAATCCTCAATTTTAATGGCTCCAAAAGTTTTTGGGGGGTTTAGGGTTATAAAGGAAGGTTGTTGGTTTCTCTCTGATTCTGACATATTCTCACCTTTGGTCCCGGGATGCCCACGCCCTCTGGCCCCGGTTCTCCAGGAAGCCCCGGCAGACCAGGAGGACCCTAAACAACCAATCAACAGAATGTTATCCAGCTTTTCTATCCCATTCTCATCCTATTTACACTTCTACCAATAATGTCAAATCTAGACTTCTACAAAACACTCAGTAAAATATCAGATCTCAACTATTATCTAGGTTTTGGGGGGGAATTTTATTTTATTGTTTTGTAGATGAGGATTTGCCTGACTATAAATCTCGCCTCTTTGTCTCTGTTCTGAGTGTTAGCTGCAGGTTGTGCGGAACATCTTCTGAAACTTTTGGGTAATAAACGTCTAACAGATGGATGGACACTGTTATGTCCGATGAACATAAAGTGTGAAACACTAGAGAGGCCGTATAAAACTGGGTTTAATGTGTGATGAATGGTTCTTTATGTGGAGAATTATAAGCCGATGGATAGAAAATGTTGTGTTTGATTTGGTTTGTTCACCATGGGGCCAGGGTAGCCGTCTCCCTTGGGGCCAAATGGACCTGTGGGGCCCGGGTCACCTCGATCGCCCTAAAACAGAATAAGAACTTCAAATTGTCATACAAAGGATAATATTTAATGCAACAGTTTAGAACAAAATGTTGAACTTCTTCCTGTGGAGTCCAATCGGCTTCCCATTCTCATAATTGATTTTCCAAATACATACTGTTGAGGCATGACGTATTAGTTTATCCAAGCCTATAGTTTTTTTTTAATGATTATTTCCATTGTAGTTCAGTTTTAAGCACCAAAAAGAACAAATGTATTACCTTTGGGCCAGGCAGTCCAAAGCCAGTCTCGCCGATTGGACCAGGAGGTCCACCTGGTCCAGGATCGCCCTACGACGTTTTAAGACATAAACTTTTCAGATTAAGTTGGCAAAGATACACACACTACACATTCTCAGCTGTTTTAACTAGGTCCAAATTTCTTGTCTTTCATTATTGTGAAAGAATTGTTAACATTGTTTATTTTCTGGGGTTTTTTTTTTCTTTAAATACAGAAAAATTTGGAAAGTCAGACATGTGTAAAAGACATGTAGTGGGATTATATAAGCTTCATTTTCTGCCTACCTCCTTTTCAAACAAATAGTTATCGAATATATATCGTGGCATTTGAATTGTGAATATGTTTGAAATAAATACACAAAGGAAATTAATCTAAAGTCGTGAAGAAAAAGGAAGAATGTAAATGGACCTAACAGTAGTTACTGTTATGTATAGAGTTGTTACAGTTTTATATTAGAAGTTAATATGATGGGTGTGCTGTGGTAGCACAGGCGTTAAGCACAACCCACATATGGAGGCCTTAGTCCTCGACGCAGCTGTCGCAGGTTCAATTCCCGGCCTTGGCGACCTTTGCTGCATGTCTTTCCCTTTCTCTCACTACCCACTTTCCTGTCAATTAACTATCAAATAAAGGCCACTAGAGCCAAAAAAAAGATAGTATGATGAGTAACCATGTCAACTAAGGGCTTATTTCTGTGTAGAAGAAGCTTTTTTCTTTAACTCAGAACATCCATAGGTGATTTGAAGGGATGGAGTGGGGTGTCCACAGTCCTAAAGCTTCACTCGCTCCCCCTTGTGGTCACTCTGGAGTATTTCAAGTGAACTGGAATGAAAACACTCATCAACCTAAGGTAAAAGTCTTAAAACAAATCAAACTAAACCTTTCTTGCTGTAGAACAAATTTGCTTCCGTTTGCCAAATGCCTAGATGATGATCATGTGTCAAAAAATAAATTTTTGTAAAGGACACCTACTGCAGCGTTAAGCATCCACACTCATACTTGACTGTGTTATTACTATGTATCATTCTAAAAGTTATTTCATGTTTAATTCTGACATATGCTGGTGTTTAGTTGGGTGTTACTAGCTTAGTGAGTTTGTTGATTAAAGTATTTTAAGTGTAAGGCTTAATTATGGTTGTAAATAAACAGAAGCCGCTGACATTATTCCATATGTGTGTTAGAAAACTTCACTGCTGCATATTTAGAACCTAAGCCTTACCAAGCAGGAATTTATTTTCTCAATATATCTATTACTATTTTTGCGAATCATGAACCTCACCCTAGTTTTCTTGTGTTTTATTTTTTTTTTTTAAAATAATTTCACAGTTCTCTCCTTATATTGTTCGCTACAGGAACTTGATTTTTTTTTCTTCAGGGAATAATTCATATTTTCCTCCCTTGAACTATAATGACATCTTTGTGAAATAAGTGATAATTGCTTTCCCTGAAAACGAACTGGGATATAATTATCACCTAAATACAAATTTGAAAAATATGCAGGAATTGCAAGTTTGTTTTTTTCAAAGTGAGAACTGAAAGCGCATACTTTGGGTCCGGTGATGAAACGTCCCGGTGGTCCGGCGGAACCGGGCCGTCCCTGTGACCCTGGTTCTCCCTGGTTAGAGATTCATTCAACTGCATTATTAAATCCCAACCTTTAATCAGCATATCAGTCTTTATCATGTCATAGACTGTCTACGGTTTTAGGTAATAACAGCTCAAAGGTTTCCTACCTTTGGTCCAGAGGGTCCAGCTATGCCAGGCGGACCTGTCAACCCTCTTATTCCTCTTTGGCCTTGGTCACCCTGAGCAACAATGTCAGGAACATGGTTGTTTATGGGATATCTATAACCCTATACTCATCATTTATTAATGTACATACAGGTCAACAAATAACCTTTAGTAAGAAATGTCAGATGTAATAAAAGAAGTACCAGGATTTCCCCAAAGGGTAATATAAGCCTGGTGGGTCACCAGGCTTTACTTGCCTTTCCCACCAGGTTAATTGCCGTTTATTTTAAATAAGGTTTTGTATATGCCAGTAACAATGACAACAATAATGGATTAAGCTAGGTTAATCATTGGCACTTTGACCTGAGAGTGAGGGGGTGCGCACCAAGTGTGCCCATTGGCCAAATTATGATCCCTGCTCAGCCACCTCCAATTTTTGTAACTTTTAACATTTTTTAACACAAAAACATGATGGGTCACTGGTGGACGGCCCTAGCATGTCTACCACCAGGTTTTCTGGTGAAAACCCTCAATACCACTTGTGTACTTTATGCACGAGGCTTCTTTATTTCAGAGAAAAGGTTCCAGAGTGGAACAAAAACAAGAAAGTGAATATTAAAATGCTAAAAGGTACACAATGAATAAAGGGGAAAAAGATCTTAATTAAATTCCTTTTGATTGCAATAAAATGGCAAAACATTCATGTCCAATATGTTGCTAGGGGCCATGGCCGTTGTAGCATAAGCCAACAATCGTCCACCGACAAGCACATTATATATTAAGCACATTAAATGACATTATATTGAAAAATATAAGGAAAGAAAGACTTAAACTGTGTACCTTTTCTCCCTGAGTGCCAATCCCCGGCGTGCCTTCTGGACCTCTAAGACCAATGGCTCCTGGTTCGCCCTAAAGCCACAAACTCAAACATTCAACAAACTTGTCGTTCACTTCTTATAGAGCCCGAGAGGAAATCCATCAAACTACCTTTTGTCCTGGAGCGCCGTCCTCTCCAGGAAGTCCAGGCAAACCTGACAGTCCTGGTGATCCTGGTTCACCCTACAGAAAGGTTTCTGGGTCTTTTAAAGTGTTTGGACTGCTGCAGACGTTAACGCCGTTTTAAACTTAGGCCACATTCACACCAGACAATGACCAAACTATGAAATGAAATACCAGCCAGAATTTGGATAGTCTTTGGAGGTCTTTGAAGACACAAGTTATGTCGAAAACAACACTCTCCTGTATTTTGTAAGGCTGCTAAGAGGCAGATGAAAATACTGGTGCTTCCTCTTTCACAGTAAGGCTGAAACCGATGGTTGGGGAGCAGAAACCTCTCATGTCTCAATCCAGTAGATTGGTAGGAAATATCCAAATCAATTTCTGCTACCTTTGTTGGTAGCACTGTAGTAGAATGGCCATAAACGCAGCAAAAAACAACAACAAAAAAAAACCCCAAACTATTTGGTGTTCAGAGTGCCTTCAGATCAAAATCAGGGTTCCATTTCAGATTCAGAGGAACGGTGGAGCAAATCCAAAAGAACAGAGTGGTCTTGATCCAGAGTGAATGAGACCTTAAATGACTGATTCATGTTGGTTTTTAATTAAAAAGAGCAGCGACACACCTTGGCACCGGGCTCACCAGCTCCTCTTTCTCCTGGAGCCCCCACTTCTCCTGGCAGCCCTTGGTCTCCCTGTGTGAGATAAAGTTCATTGTTTCAATCCTAGAACGATACTGCTTAATGCTGAAAACTGGTACAGTCACCCTCTGTATTATTGACTAAAATGTACTCAATTAACTTAGATTTTATTAAGCTATCACTGAAAATGAACTTTTAATCTTCTCCTTATTTTAAATCAACTAATGCAGTAAAGGAAAACCTAAAAGTCCACAGGTTCTTTATCTCTGTTACAAGCTCTGCCTGATTAATACATATTCTGTTTTGTGACAAGTAAATTCACTTTTGACAAAAAATAATGTGTAGGGTTAGGGTCAGGACAAACCTTGGGTCCAGGAAAGCCCTCTCCCGGTTGGCCTCTTATTCCAGGTGGCCCCCTGGGGCCCTCTGTTCCCTGAAAGGAAGATATAAAGAAATTGAAGACGAATGCGATATGAGTTTATTTAAATTTAAGCAAAAAGAAAAACAGGTATCGACATAGAAAATAATCAAATCCGGTTAACTTAAGGCCTAATGAACAATTCAATAAAGAAGTTGCATACATAGCACTTTGCTTAACAACCAGCCACACACCTTTTCTCCTTGGATGCCTAGACCTGGAAGGCCCAGGGGCCCTGGAAACCCTGGAGGGCCAAAATCCCCCTACAGGAATGAAGTTTAAAAAAATAAAAACTGATACCACATACATGCTCATCGTCAGTGAATCACTGTTCAGTTTCAGCTACAACCTTTCATTATGTATAACTTTCGGAAAGTACCCAACTTTATTTGTTCCATACAGATCTAGCTCGGCTTAAAATATTTCTTATGACTTTAGAACCCTGTTTGCAAATCAGTTCAGTGCTTCCAACCCATGTCTACATCTGTGAGTCGTAAGCTCTCCTGACAGATGAGTGTCTGCAACGCATTGCGACAAATAAAAACCTTATTCACACTGAATGCGCCAGTAGAGTGTTAATATTCCCACATTCAACAACCCAAACCATAAAACTGCAGTCCTCCTACACCATTCAAGCTGTAACCTCAATTCATAGCCTGTAGACTGTGACCTCCTATATAACGCCGAGCTCAGTGCATTTATCAGTGGCTCTGGCAACTTTTGGCCTCCTTCACAACAGGGCTTTAGCTTTCTCGCGTTCTTCGCTTTTGTGAAGTCTTTTCAGCACGGCACCTCATTTATGGCCTCTCTGTACTCTACCTTGTCTCCTTTGATTCCTAGGCCCAGCTGTCCTCTGGGCCCCCGTGGCCCCTCTATGCCTCGCTCGCCCTGTGAAGGCGGACAGAGAAGTTATTGCGTTTTGACTTTTTGAGATATTAGATGTGCTCACAGGAATGGCAAAGCAAGACCACATGCCACATATCACCAAACGTCTTTGATAGTTGCTTTCATAAAAGCTACACTCAGACACATAAAAGCTTACCTTCAGTAACCTCTGTAATGTAATATTCACATAGAGCATATCGTATGGAACTACGTTTTGTACGTGTGCAGAGGGCAAGTAGAGGATTTATGATATATTTCTGGTTAAAAGCTTTAGATTAAGGTTTCTGATTCCTGAAACAAAGAAGACCATAAATGAAAAAGAAACTCAGACGTTCACAATTTCAATTATCAGTCACCTCAAAGCACCAAGCAACACAGCTAAACAGGTCCAATTCAAACCCACAGGACTTCGGGTCAATACCGTTTTATTCGGCCCGATAAATTCCAATATGGAGAAGTCCGGTTCAATCAAGATGTGATCCAGATGATGTCAGCCCCAGCAGGTTCTGTGTATTAGTGATTTTAAAGTAGAAAACAAAAAGGCAATTCTTCTCAATTTACAAAGAGCCATAAGAGTTTTAGAGGTGAACATTAATGGGTTTTTTTTATTTTGCTTTTGCAATTCAGATTCACATTATGTTAAAGTGTCCTTAAATTATGTAAAATCGATTTTTTTTTTTTTTAGCTGTACATCATGTTGAAATATTATTCCCTCATCAGAAACATATCCAGATGTTGCCTTGATTCTTTCATACATGTTTGGGAAATCCTTTCATCTCCCGTGGCAACCATTCAGGTGTTCAAAACACAGGCTGGTTGGACCTAGCTCCACCTTCGAGGACGAAGCTCCAAGCTTCCGTCTCACAGAGCAGGACTCCCTCATGACTCCCCTTCTCAAATCCTTCAGACTAGCCAGCAGCAATTAGCAATCAATGCTAATTGTGCTTATTATACAAGCCACTTCTCAGTGCAATGCTGGTAGAAACGTTGATACAGGAGCGATGTTGTGATGACTTTATGACAGCGGCGTTTCAGAAAAAGATGGAGTTTTTAAAGAGACAGAGGCCCAATTTCAAGACTTAAACTTTCTTTTAAGTCATATTTGATATATACTTAGCATTTTTATAACAACTGAATGTAACATAGATTGTGTTATAAAGTGCTGCTTTGTGCCTGGTAAATACATGATACTGTCCCTTTAAATTGATTAGCAGAAACAGAAGCAGATCCCTGTCGTTGAAGCAGATTTACTGCACAGTTATTGAGCTAAACTGAGAACACAAAGGTCAAGCTCAGGAGGCTTTCCATAAATCACAGGGCGGTGGTCCAATTCCCAGCTTCCCCCAGGCTGCATACCTAAGTATTCCCCGGGAGTAACCAAAAAATGTTTCTATTTGATATAAAACTATTGGATAATCTAAAAAAAAAAAAACTCAAGAAAAGGTTGATCAATTAAAAAACAACAACAAAAAAACAATGAAAACAAACAAGACTTTGTCAATGATTCATAGACAAATGTGGCACAGGAAACAGTAATGGCTTCCATCAAACACTGCTATCCATCTGAAAGAGATAACTGAATTTACTTTTAAAAAGGAGCCTCTGCCTCATCTTCCAAGGTTTTTCCAAAGTCGGAGAACAACAAAACGAAGCCACAACAAGATGTACATTAATTAGCATAGCGATGCCGCATTTGCATGTCGGCTTCCAGAAGTTTCCATTTAATGTCATAAATCCGCAATCGGAGCTCAAAGCAGAAGCGCTAATGATGTGTAAAAAAAAAAAAAAAGGGGAAAAAAAAGGTTATACTGCTGCGAATCTGGGAGCTTGTCGGGGCAAGTCATGTGAGGAACGCCGCTGTAGAAGGAACGCCATCTGTGAGAATACAGCCAAGTGTGGTGTTGCAAAAAAAAGAAAGACAGAAAAGAAAGAAAGTACCCTGGAGGGCGATCTAACGGGGGGGGGAAGCACCTTCTCCAGGTTTTATGGTGGAAACTTTTACTTTCAGAGCAACGGCGCCAGGTGATGAGTTAGATGACAGTTCGGTGTGAGGGTGAAGTAAGAATTTCACCTGAAGCCTACCTCGTGTTTCAGAGTTCCTTGGTAAATATTGCAGGAAAACAAAACAAAACAAAACAAAAACAAAAGCAGTTACGAAAGTCGTGTCTGGAAGACATTTCTGCATATTACTCAGGCTTCGTTTAACGTCCGCCTCTGTCACAACGGAGAGCCTCGATGTGATTTAATATTATTTTACATGAATCGTTTTCTTCAAAATTATGATTCGTGTAAAGGTGCTGAGCTGGTTTCTGTGAGCTACTTTGGGGATGGAAGTAAGTTAAGTCAAGTTTATCTGTATAACACATGTTAGCAGAAATGTGGAACAAGTGGATATTTTTCCAAACTTCAAAGAGTTTTACTCAGATTAATCAAAACCAGGAGTGTGTTTGCGTGTTTTTGTCTGTGCATGTGTGTGTGTGTGTGCGCAGTGGAAGCACAAAATACCACCATACCCCCTGATCTTTGTTAAGAAAACAGAAACCTCATGAAGGAAGATGTGTTTCCACATGTGGGAGATGTTCTGCTTGTGTACGACTGAGGAAAAACAGACACTATAGCAGACTATAAGTTCCCTCTGACTGAGTCACTGGCTGAACCGTGGGGGCGTTCTGGCCTTTTTATTCCCTGCCCGTTTCTGAATCCTCTCCTCTTCGCACCGAGACGTTCTCATCTCCTCCTGCTGGGGTCGATCGATAGGCCGCGCCACGGCGTGAGGTAACGGAAGCCGTGCTGCTGCGCCGTACGGGGAATTTACTGTCGTGTGCTATCATGTCTCTTGTCCATACACGTTGTCAATTTCCTGTCGGAATCTGGAGCCCAGACAGGAGATTTTTCTTTTTCCCTGTGAAGGTCAGAGGGCGACGGCGGATGGGTGAAGCCAACATGGATGCATGAAAATGGGTCGAAAGGCTGAAGCTTTTAGCTGGCTTGAGTGCATGAGACTTTCAGGAAATACCGTCTCTCCCAGGAGCTTTAGGCTTTAAAGAAATAAAAATAATAAATATGAACACCCACTCACCTTAGGGCCAGGGATACCTTCTCCCGTCGGTCCTCTCTCTCCTTGGACTCCCTGTGGCCCCTGAGGACCCTGAAAAAAATGAAATAAACATGTAAATGACCTTTTAAAGAAATCTATTTGGGAGAGGAGGGAACTAATTCTGACTCAAAATCAGTAAACAACAGGAAGGCTGAGTGCATTCACTGCAAAGCAAAAAAGTATCACCAAGTACTTTTGGTTTAGTTTCGAGTGCAAATATCTTTATACACTTGAAATGAGACAAAACCGACTTATAATTAACTTTCCATCAAGATACTTGCTATAAGTCAAAGTGCGCACATAGACACTAGGTGGTGCTAGAGCACATGACTTATTCCCTCCATAGGTTAAAAAAAAGAGCTCTTTTGAAATCTTTTCCTTTTTAAAGTGTAGTGTGTGGCCCAGTATAACATTCCTTGTTTTGAGTTGATTTTCACGTATAGAGAAGATGTTGGCAGGGAAGGTGTAGGCTTCTGGTATTCTGTTTCAAATTCATCAAATTGTTCTCATCTGTTTTATTTGAATTCAGTTTAATAGTTTATCGCTAGAAGGACTTGAGTTATCTCTGCTGCCGTTGGCTTAAACCGTTGGAGCACAAACTGACCACTTTTCCTCACTTTCTCCTTCTACTACTCTCTAATTATGTTGTTAACTTTTTGGTTTCCTCTCCACAGAAGCTACGCTAATCTTGTCTGGCTGTGATTCCTTCCCGGAGGAAGCTGAGATAATGTTGACGTCAACTGATTGTTCTCCGTCTTCTGCTATTAACTTTTTACTTTCTTGAACATCAAAACTAGCAGTAACTCAGGCCATCTGTTTCTCCTTGTGCATTTTGTTCCGACTTCTCAAACTCAGCAGTGGGAGACGGCCAGTTGTACCAAGCCAAGTTCTGGTTCGGCTGGAGGTTTCTTCCTGTTAAAAGGGAACTTTAAGATTGAAACTTCCTTTGAATAATTAATTGAACACGCAGCACTAATTGGTCTAATTGGAGTGTGTACCATTAGTAATACGAACTGTGCTAACACAAAATGCCAAAGGCATTCCTTTTTGCCCTGACATCATCTCTGCTCCTGCTAATAACGGTTAATGATGTAGGAAGGCAAGAAAACTTGAAAATTATTTTAATACATGTGTGGCTACAGGGTTTTATAGCTGTTTCGGGGCGTTAACAATTGTTACTATAGAGAGGTTAAAAGGTTATTCTATTTTTTTTTTTTTTTGTGAAACAAAAGGCACATTTCATGTAGTGACAAGCCAGACAGAAACAGCAGGTTGGAACAGTAGGAAGCAGAACGACAGATCCGTCTACATTGTTCGTCTGTAATACACAAGTGACACAAGTTAGAAACGAGGACGTTTTGTCTTCCTTTCTAACTCACCGGTGGTCCTGGCTCGCCGATCCCCGTAGGGCCGGGAGGCCCCGGTTGCCCCTGGAAACCGACATCCCCCTGCAGAGTGCGAGATAGCGAGGGGAGTGCTCAGACAGGGTGAGACACAAAAGGCTGGTGGTTATGTTCTCGTGAAACGATTTTTCCGTAACATTTTACCTTTGGTCCCGGAAGGCCGATCCCTGTCTCACCTTGGATTCCAGGTGGTCCTGGAAGCCCCCGCTCCCCCTATTAAAAAGATAAACGTGGGTACATTTTGTCCAAATGTCACTCATCCTTGTGTACGAGTGAGAAAATCTAAGAAAACCCACAGACATAACCCGCTTTGTGTTGCCTCAACAGTCCATTGACGAAACTTGATTTAAGACTTAATTGTTTATATTTTTAAAAAAGCTGTTGCTTCTCTACATAGTGGCTGTAAATCAAAGCTGTGGCCCTCACAAAAAGGACCCATGGGAGGCAGGAAAAAGAGGCGTGGAGATTGTTCTAGGTGCATACCGGTGCTTTTTGTCCCCCCTCACCCCCCCTTCCATTGCCCTTTCCAAGCAAGTTAGGACAATGCTTCCCGCCAGACATTACATTGCTATTTTGGTGATGTAGGATGACAGCCAGACTATTAACGTGAACATTTTTCTAAAATAATTAGGAGGCGACCACTTGGTGTGGAGTAAGTGCTTATGGGAAGAACGGCAGGTAGAACACGGTGGAGGAGGCTGAAAGCAGAAGGAACCGACAAATAAGCCGACAAGTTAATAACAGATGAGCTTCTTCGGAGGAGTTTCAAATGTCACAGCGGCGGGGGATCGTAACTCACCAATAAACGTTCAAATGTATAGTTCCTACCCCCCCACACCCCATTCACTTTATGAGCTTTTGGAGATACTTGACATTTCTCATGTTATTTATGCCTGCGTTAGCTGATTTTAATCTGAAGTGTTATAAATGTCAGCGTCGTGAGAGCGAGCGTTATTTACTGCGCGTTATTCCGAGGGAAAAAAAAAACTATCGGAATCGAATGCTTTTTAATCACGGTAGGCGACTTTGTGTCGTTGAAATGGCGACACGTTTGTACGCCGGGATTCAGACCAATCCTCATGTATGCATCTGGTTTAAAAAACAAAAAACAAAAAAAAAAAACGTGACTGACTTGATTGATGTGTTTGAGTTATAGGTGGAGACAGGCCATGAAAGCTTCAGTTTCCTCACAAAGACATTGTGGTGTTGCCCGGGATTAATAAAAATGATCAAATAGGGAGCATGAATGATGTCATAGTCATGTTTAGTGTACAGACTTAATCAAAGGGTGGCTTTAGTTTTCATCCAGAGCCATTTCAAATTTAAATTTGACACAAGCCATGAAGGGAACAGAGCAAACATGTGGAAGACGACGATCTGGTCTGAATTTTTTGGCCTTTGTGAAAAAAACCTGAAGATACGAAGTCTTGTTGGTGGCCTAATTAATAATGCAGACAAGCTATTCAACCTTTATTATGAAAAATATGGGTTGTATATTGACAGTGCATTCTGTTTTCCCTAAGTAAACTAGATGTGCCATTAAATATAGTTTATCTCACAACTTTTAGCATTACAGTACAAAGTTGTAAGATGCAAAATTTGATACTGTTGATTTTCCAAAATGGCATAATTTGGAGAAGATCAAATATTATTAATTAATAAATTTAAAGATTTCTTTACCTACTTCTGTTAGCTCAGCTGGCCGAGGAACATCAGTGGTTAAGCTCAGTTTTCGTTTGACCCATTTGACTGGCAGCAGTGTGGGAGGTCCATCAGAATTAGGAACAATGGGCGTATTTATTTATTTATTTATTTATTTAAAATGGAGAGCATGAGAAAAGGGTGTCAGTCAGAACTGGAAATTATTGCCACTTATTTTCGTCTACGTCCCGGTCCCAATGCTCAGTGCGCACCCTACGCCCCTCTGTGAAGTGTGCATTCAATCGAAGTGAACGTAAAGGTTCGAGTGCACAACCACGCAAAAATGTGAGAACTGGGACAGTACGCCCCTGTGTCTTAACTTCGACATCCAAAATGGCGGGACTTGGTCACTGTTTAGGCATTTATGCTGCTAAAATGTACAACTACAACAAAGCAAATTATTTTAAATGTAAAGGTATTTTTGCTTTCCTATGTCATTGTTGGAGATATGTATTTTATTATGCGGAGAAAAAAAATTAAACTTCAGTCAGACAGAAAGTTTTTCCCAGCACGTGTGGAAGTGAAGTTAATGATATGGGTAAATATATTTAACAAAGATTTAATGTACTAAAAAGTTTAAGTAATCGATTTGCCATCCAGCTTAATTATTGATTAAGACACCAAGTCCTCAACGATATGTTTTCCCTTACATGCTGCTGCAGCTGATATGTTGATTAAAGGTCTGATTCACCACACATCCTGTGTATTATTAATGTCTGAGTGATCCACATAACTTCCCCTCATCACTCTCACGACTCGTGCTGACGCCTTGACTGTTTTCTTATAAGATGTTTATGGCTTCAAGGACACGTTAATCACCAGGGAACGGTGTTCACAAGCAGCTTGTTTCCTTTTCCGAAGCCATTCGATTTAATGGCAAGTCTTGTTTTCTGTCTGCACAAATAGCTGTTTTTTCAATTCTGTTTTTTTTATGTTTCAAAAGTGCAAGCAAGAACAAACAAAATGTCTTCAACAGCCACATTTTCGGCAAATTTTGTTTTCATTGCATATCGTTCTTATGTCAGCTGTACGTGATTGGCAAAAAACATAAGGGGATTTTTGATATGTTTTGGAGACAAACTGGACACGGCGACGTCTGAAGTCTAGACAATGAAGATGTTTGACTTTGTTGGTCTTTAGCTGAAGCTGCACAGGCGCTGATGAGTGGAGGTAATCACTGTCATCGGGAAGATACAGTTTAAAAAACGGACGACGACATTGAACCTCAACAGAAAGGCCTCAGCCAAAGATGGGATGAAAAATCTCTGATTCATCTTCACCGAGACGAAGCTTCAAGGTTCAGGAAGAAACAAATCCTTGCAAAAGTATTTATGCCTCTTAGATTAAATCATAAACTTCCATATATTTTACTAAAAATGTGTGCGGGATTTGTATTCAGTTTACCTTAACACCCTTAAATAAAATCCAATACAATTGATTTGCCTCTTCATAGTTAGTAGAGTCCTTCCCACTTTTTTTCAAAGTATTAATGGGAAGTTGTGGGCTGAATACAAATGTATTATTTTCATTTTGCAAAAGTTGAAAACCATGTATGTTTGTTCATCTGCCTACCAAATATACATTAGTTTGAGTTGCTCAATTACATAAAATCCCAATAGAATCTACTGACGTTTGTCGTTTTATCCTTACCAAAGCAGCACGTTCAGGCAGTCAGAGGGTTCCTTGGCAAGAAATCCCGTGACTCATGTTGTATTTTTCAAGGTCAGACTTGTAAAGTAAGTCTGGCAAAACCAAAAACGTTTCGGAGCCACTGCCAAACAGTCGCCAGATGTTTTGCATCTTACTAGCATTTCCAATTGTAAAACCTCTTCTCTATGTGGACCGTTACTTTTTCAATCGAGTTAGAAAGCTCGTGGTGTTACCTTAGTTACCAGCAGTTTTCAAATAAAAAAACACCTTTACTGAAAACGTAGCGAATACGAAAACTAAACCGAGTAGTCCTGAAGGTCGCGGTCTATAGCAAGGTAGGTTTATTCCTCCCGATTGACCTCCTTATTTGTTGATAAGAGAGAAATGATAGGAATAAGGTTTCCTATCAGCATCTATTATTGGCCCAGTTGGTGCACTGGTTAGCTACTGCTGGGGAAAGATGATTGGCAAGATGGAGATGTGAAGCTGTTCTTTGTGTGTTGGATGTGACAAGAAAAAAGGTTACGCAAGGTTTTAAAAGCTGACACACGAGACTCTTGACTTGATATCAGAAGGTGTTGGCTATTTTTTGAGAGCGGCCGTCACCGTTTTTTTTATGTCGCCACATGTTGGTGCGTTTAAAAAAACCACACAAAGTGATTTCTTCATATAAACAAAGAAAAGAAGGGCATGTTGAGAAACAGCAAGTTCTGTCATTAGTCTCAGATTAGCATGCTTCAAAAAACAAAAGAAAAGAAAAAAAAAGGTCAAAATCGTGCTTACTTTTTTGCCCATGATTCCTTCAGGTCCCACATCACCAGGTTGACCTGGCAAACCCTAAAGCACAAATAATAAAGGTGTTGCACGTTAAACCACGAGCACGAAACACAAACCACAATAAATCACATACGAGCTCTTTTCTTGCCACAGTAACAGTGATGAAACACATTTTGTTAATTTTCTTTTCCTTTTGTTTACTTTCACTAGTCGCAGACAAACTTGATTGCAGCCAGAACTGTAGAATCAAAAACAATCAATCAAAAGGAGGGACGGATGGGAAGACTTTGTTTTTGTTTTTATAAATTCCTGAAGGAGATTTTTTTTTTATGACCTTAAACAACCTTTTCATGCTGGAAAACGTCTTTCAGGTCCAGGTTTGTCCAGTGTTAACACTTGTTTCACAATCATAAACATGGAAGTATGACAAAGAAGCCACAAAAACAACAACAACTGAAACAATGAATGACTCAGAGATTGCATAGTGAATATTTGAGCATTTCTTAGTCTAAAAGTGACAATTCTACATATTATTTGGTTGTGTAAAAGCAGTAGCTGGGTTTAAATGATTCTAATGGAAGAGTGTGAAAAAGTTCACCTGAAGTCCACGGTTTCCTCTTGGACCAATAACACCTTCAGGGCCCTGAAAAAGAAAAAAAAAACGTGCTTTTATCAGAAATGAATGTAACAGATGGCAAAACGATGGAAAGTGTGAACTACCTTTCAAAAAGACAAATACTTAGCTTTAGGTAGATTTTTTTTTTCATCTCAAGCTGACAAATCATCATCGTGGTAAATATTATATTTTATATTTGTTGTTAAGTTGGAATAACAAAGAACTACAAACATACTCTGTCTCCTTTAACGCCTGGTGTGCCACACTCTCCTCTCTCTCCCTGTGAGAGAACAAACAAAGTTTAGGTTCCTTCTCAAACACCGTCTACACAAAAATAATGCTGTTTGTTTACAGGTTCAGGTTTGAGCTGATTTGCGACAATTAATGTCATGGGACTATACAGAATCTGAGAGCTTTGCAGTCGCAGAAGATGACAACAATGTGCAGACGATTGCTGGCAGGTCTGACATTAAACAAAGGACGATAAAATGCCACAATGTCTTCAAAGTCACAGTGTGCCATTATGTCTGAAGCTCATAATCCCCCAGTTACTGTCACTTATAATGATTTTAAATCAGCGTGGGAAGAACCCTTTGTTTTAGAATCTAACGAGGCATAAGAGGGGTTTGGATTAAAATCCATACAATACCTTCTCTCCTTTGTATCCTGATTTACCCTGTGTGCACACGAGAGTTTTGTTAAATCAAGCAAAGACAGAAGAGAGAAGGATTTTGGTCAAAGAAGACGAGACATTGGTCATAAATTCACGAACCAAACTGAAGACCCTTGACTCACCTCAGCTCCTTCGCGGCCTGGAAGTCCACTGAGACCACTTTCACCCTAAAGAAAGATTTTGATTTAACGTGCGACCCTTGAACTACTTGCTTAAGTTGTTCAAGGGTTGTTGGATTGGCAGTACCTTCTGTCCTTTCGCGCCGGGGCTTCCATCATCTCCAGGACGTCCTTTCTTGCCCTATGGTAGAAGTTGAGGCAACATGAAAACAATCTCGACCACTGAAGATTATTTTGTGAGCAGACATCTCTTCTATTCCTGTTTAACTTCAAGGAATAGACAGCAGCTGATGATCCATAGGGCTTTCCCTGAGGAATGATCATTTGCTTTCTGCTTTTCTTTGAGATATGGCTGTGGGTAAATGGGTGGTTTGGGATTTCGAGACGGTTTGATGGTAAAGGCAGAAGAGCAAACAAAAAAATCTTGGTGTACTCACAGAGTAGGATTTAAACTTTAACATACACATAAACCAAACCAAGAAATCAGCCTACCGTCACCTTAAAAAGATCACCAGAATAAAGAGCTTCCAGCTTTTCAAACCAAACATTAGAGCTGCATTGTTTGCAGAAAAAATGGCTTAAGTCACTGAGTGTGGGGAACGGATGAGTCAAACATAACTGATGCTGCCTTGTCTACTCAGTAAACTTCTTGGCCATTTTCTCTCTTATAATATAGACTCTATGAACACTCTTGTCTTCAAGTTATCTCCGGTCGCACACATTGCTTTTGTAACTGGGTCCCTTGCTACCCCTGATGTATAACAGCTTTTGTTCTGAGCATCAGGAGTAAAGGGGTAATTACTTTGCTTTAATCCAGAGAAAAGGCTTCAAAGCAGTAATCACTTTGACTGTGACCGACCTTCTCTGTTGAGGAAAAGGCGAGCCCGTATCACGACATGCTTGGCAGCTAAAGAAAGTCCTGCATGTAGCACTGAATCTGCCAAGCATGTGTTCTCAGATAGTCCTGAGAGGCAGGATTCCTTCAGCAGACATGACTCTGCTGATTTCCCATGTAAATATGCGTTTAGACCTGTTTTCAATAAACTGTTGGGAAGAATGTAAAGTATTTGCTTTACTCTCACCGCTTCGGGGAGACAAGACTTCTGAAAACCCGCACAAGTCACTAAACTCTTCTGAACCCTGCAATTATGTAGCCTGTAGGAGCCTTTGTCTGCAGAGCTCTCCTCTGCACTGATTGTTAAGAAGGCAGATTTAACGTCTGGGAGCAGCAGAGGAGCACAACACAACTGAAATGGTTTAATGTGGTTGTGTTTAGTGACTTGGAAATGGCTGAATAACATGCACATGTGCCACTTACTGACCACCCGAGTTATGTCTTCTTTGTACAGTCCCTTTTGTATAATCTCTCTAGTCTAGATCACCCAGAGTGCCAGGGTCTCTAATCATTTTCTCAGGGCAATTAGATCCGCAACATCATAGATCCTGCACTGTACAGGGGCCACAGAGATGCGTAGGGCATCTGCCATCTTATGACTTTGCTCTTCTTCGGTGTTCTGTGAAGTACCCTGCTGATGTCCAAAAAAATGAGCATCTGTTCTCAACAGAACACCAATGTTCAGAGGAACGCAAACTGAACTTGTTCTAGAGCGAGATCCCTGTGTGTGTGAAAACATGCCGTTTGTGGGCCCATGATGCATGTTTGTGCATACAAGCCATCATCCCTGATTGGGTGGATATAAAGTACGACTTACCGCAGGGCCACTGGGTCCTCTCTCACCTTTCTCACATTTGCATGGGTTCAATTCGAGTGGACACTGGAAAAACATGAAAAAGGACAATGAAAACGTGCACAAGAACCACAACCAAACAGAACTTGTAACACTGGCAGTTTTGACACTTACACCTTCTTCTGCCAGCGCCATCTGCAGGGCGAGAAATGGAACAGAGTCAAGTCAAGTCTTAAGTCTTCTTGTGCGAGCGAGGACTGAGGCAAACGTAGAGGACTATGGCAAATGATACAAGTTTTATGTGTGTGGGGTCGGTTGGACCTCATTTCTACATACAAGGGTTAGTAATATAGATTAAAAAAATTGTTTTTAAAAATGAGGCTCACACCTAATAAAATTTTACAAACTAGTTGAATTCAACGTGTGATGGATTCAATTGGGGTTTAACGCCTTTTACATGATTCCAACTCCCGGTTTTACAAAGCTTTATAACTGGTGCTGGGTAATAAAATGCAATAGTACATTGACAGAGTCCGACTTCTCTAAATTGATTCCGATCTGATTTTTTCCTTCAGCAACAGAGAATCTTTTAGTGCAGTTGTGGTTAGCATGGCAGGTTCACTTTAGACTGACTCACTCAGCTGGTCAGGATTAACTGATTTTACTTGCTCACAATACAAACCTCCAGATGCTTAAACTAAAAAACACAGTCCTAAACCGTTGATGAAGCATCCCTCTGAAAGTGGCTGCTCTTTATTTTTAAGCTGTTTTCAGCAGAGGACTTCCCAGATGGTTCTGTGAAACAAACCATCTGGTGCGTCGGATTATTTCCTGTACTTCCTCTTGTTCGACGCGTCCTGCCAGAACAATCATTTGCTTTCACTGGGAAGCAAATGAAATTCTCAACTCTGCAATGCTAGTAGATTTAAAAGGATAAATTGGATCAATTAAATATTCCACCGAAGGTCAAGGAGGGGTTCGGGATTGAGATGTGAAGCCAAATTAACAGTCTGTTCACTCTTGAGAAATTGAGTCCTGCGGTTTAATGCTGGGGCTAAAGATAAAAGACATGCTCTCGGCTGGTACAGAGGCACATGCTTATGACATACAGATGCTGCCTATACAAGGAAATGAGATGAAAGTCTGATTCCTAGCTGCTGCTGCTGCTGGGTCCTAGCATGCCAGCAGAATGGGTTAGATGTCAGACGCAATGCTTTGCATGTTTTTGCACCATGTTCCCCATAAGGTTTTTCATCCATCGTATTTAGATGAGTGTACCACCGGTGTCAACACTTAAGCTCAGGTCTAAAGCAGCGTTTGAAGTGTTTGTGGGATGCTGTTGCGTGTGTTGCGTGTCCTCAGACTCATGCGCTTACTTCACCCAGTTTTCCCCACAAAGCATTTTAATGCGGAGCATGTGTGGCGACCGAAAGTCAAGATGTCGACGCCGGGGATGCTGTTGTGCAGCTCCGTATTCTAATTAACACAGCAGTGGCTTGTAAAAGTCAACCGTTAATGTTTACGTAAACAATCGAGTGCGAACGCGTTTGCTTTTTTCGCTGAACGTCTATAGCATGAATGTTTACAGGCAAATCCCTTTAAGGTTTCTGAAGTCCTCTGCCAACTCGAGAGGGCTTGTAGGAAGCAATCTCAGCGAGCAGCGTTCAGACCAGACCTGTTAGTCTAGCAGCAGGTGTACATTAGGGATGCAATAAGCCAGGAAATCATAGCATCGGCCGCCGTCAACAGCGGAAGCAGGGGAAGTTGTTATTGGGTGCATGGTGAAACTTAAGGTGCTAACATTTGGAAAGCGTCTGTTCACATAATGGCTTTTTGAGGCTTCCATCTCCAATCAATTTCTGCCCTCTGAAGAAAAAAAAAAAGCAATTATCAAACACACACACACATGCAATTTCACAAGTGATATAAGTTGCAGTGAAATGTTGTGGGCTTTGGGTGTTTATGCAAGTCTGAGCATGAACACCAAAAAACATGTTACCTCTGATCTGCCTCCCAAATGAAATTGTTTGGAGGAATTCGAGAACTTGCCAAGCTGTCAGTTATTCCTTTTGTTTGTGTGTGTGTGTGTGTGTGTGTGTGTGTGTGTGTGTGTGTGTGTGTGTGTGTGTGTGTGTGTGTGTGTGTGTGTGTGTGTGTATAAATGAGCTACCAGCTATTTTTTCCCGTATAGAACAAAACTCAGTTGTCAGCCTAATGAAATCATTAGATGGCATTTGAGGTTTTGGTGCAAAGCCATAACCTGTGCCTTAGGATTTTCCCCTAATTTATAAGGAGAATATAGTAATAATTTCTGCAAATTTATTATACCGAGCTAGTAAATACCCCAAGTACGTTCGCCCTGAACTTAGCATGAAGAAGAGCAGCACGTAGTAAGGTCTTAACCTGACACTCTACAACTCCAACTTCAATCTAAGACTCTCATTTTGTAGGGCTATTTTGTGGTTCAATTGTAAACTAACGCATAAGACGCAAGTGGAACCTCAAAAGTAGAATAAGAGGACCTTCGTTAGCATATCTTGCTAAATGTGAAAACAAATCACCCTAAAAACTTAAGACTTCAGACTCTCAAACAATTGGAACTGTCTTGAATCTTGTGATCTTGACTAATAGTTTTCGTGACTTGCATAAAATCTGTAAAGTATTGCTTTTGATGTGATCCTGTTCTGAGTAGTGCATGCATTTTGGGATCAGGGATGTGGAATCCACTGTGTCACTAAACTGTTTTCACAGAGTAATTTTGCTCCTATTATATTTTTGACTTTCGGTCTGCTAATGTGGAAAAAACACAATTTTGCAACTCCCGTGTTTCCATTAAATAAGAACTGCAATTAAAAAACTTGCGTAAATAAGTTTGATCAGGCTTGTCATTAAAGTACAGGCAGCGCCATCCTCCTCCAACTACTTCCTGTTGTCTTCTTCGTAGTTTATGCCAGTGGCAACATCTGGTTGTTGATCATGTGACTCGTGATGTGGAAAAAAAAAGTGTTTCCATTGCAGGTTTGTGAACTAAACCGGTTTCAATAAGGCCAAAAAAGACCAACTCATCATAGTGCCAAAACTTTTTACCAAAAAAGGGGGAAGATTTTCAAAGCTGGCATGTTTCCATTAGAATAATTTATTTCAAAAATGCTAAATTGCGCAGATATATGGTAAATAGATACGCAGCTGACAAAGCATAGTAAGCTGTTGACTAAATCTACTATAACTCAACACGGATGCAAGGAGTGATGTTTTTTTTTTTTACTCACAATCTCCTTGATGACTTTATCCACAATGCCAACATCTTGCAAGTTGTGAAGGTAGCGGGTAGCTGGGGAACTAGCGATTCGACGCAGCTGTGCGATGTTGGCTGCTTCGTTGGCTTCAGGTGTGATTCCTATTGTGAAGAACCGAACGCCTTGGTTCCTCGCATCGTCCACAGCGTCAAATATGTTTGGGTTCCTTGGGTGCGAGATGCCGTCGAAGAGCAGGACGGCCACCTTGACGCTTTTGGTGCCCGACTCCTCCAAGTAAATGCGCGTCAGGTTGGTGATGGCGTAGGTGGTGTAGGTGCCGTGGCCTATGTACGGAATGGGAGCGACTCTGGCTTTGAAGTTTTCAATGCCCCTCCAGTCTCTGAAGGTCTGCTCTATCTTGACCTGGCTGCTGTACTGAAGGAGGGCAGCGCGGGAGCTGAGTCCGCGGCCACTCTCCATCCGAAGGCCCTGCAGTCGGTCCATTACGTCGGAAACAAAACGTTTCTCCTGTTCGTGGTTGTCCTTGGCACTCTCTGAGCTGTCGACCAGGAAGGCCAACTCCAAACTGCAGTCTTCATCGACAGAAGCTGAAAAAATAAATAAAAATCTCACAGTTAGCATTTCATAAACATGCGTGAGCAATAATTAAAACTTGAACTTACGTAAAACTGTTTATTTCTCAATATATGCAAATTTTATTAGCTATTGAAGTAGAAGCTGTTAGCTATTCAGATAACTGAATTAAGCAATGTGTAAAGTTCTTACTCTTCGGTTTTGTTCGGCTAATGCAGAGGTTCCCAAACTGGGGGGTTTGGGAGATTTGGGAACCACTGGGCTAAGGTAAGCTAACGATCTTTGTAGCTTCATAGACCGAAAAACTGCCAAAGTGACACCCATTTCAGGATTTATATTTGCAATTTAACGTGCTAAAATTTAGTTGTCACAACTCTACAACAGAAGCAGCGCGGAAAATCAACGTCATTGTTCTCATCTGATTGGCCCAGTTGAAATTCTGCAGGTGAAATTGAGCTCAATGGGAGAAATCCCAGACAGAGCAGCAAAGGGAGATGAGAGTTGAGCGGAACTGCATAGAAAGACAATGGCCTTTTTGAGATATTTTAGCCTATTTCATGTTGTCAAGCTAGTTTCTTGAATCTACATTGCAGGGTGCCATTAGTTTTGAGAGTGGCATGTAAAAACATGTGGTTAACCACAGGTAAATAATCATTTTACAACAGAGAGAACTACTTTTGTTCTCTCACCTAATTGGTTAAAAAGGACCTCAATCTGTTTTCATTTTCCATCAGCATAATTTTGGCTTCATAACAAACATGTATTTATTTTTTTTAGTTTGCTGGTGCCAAACTTTCAACCTTCCATCTACATCTTGTCCGTCACTTTCATTTCCCGCCAAGTTTTGAGATCCCGCCAAGTTTTGAGATCAAAATGAGTTTGAAAGCTGGTGACTCTGCGACATTTCCCAGAACGTTGTAAGTTTATCAAACCGGCTCTTCATTTTCAAGACAAACTGCTCCAAGCGTCAACCTTCTGCTGCGGGAGGAGGTCGCAGATGTAATAGAGGGCTGAGGATAAACCACATTAATCTTTGCTTGAATATGTCACAGAGAGAATGCGCCCGAGGAAACAGGATTCTGAGTGAATAAAACATTTGGGTAACGGAGCACTAAGCGGTCACACTGGAGATGGATTGCTTAGAGAGCCGAGATATGATCAATCCACATGCGCTGCCTCCTCCAGCAACGTCCTTGCTCAGGTTCAGCTTTTTCACTGTGAGCATTTTTTTTAACAACGTCCCCATCTGTTTTTTTCCTCCCCCCCAAAAAAATTATGAGGGAAGCAACCTCTGAGGAAAACTTACATTTGCCATTCTGTGGTATGGAATTTGGTGTGAAGAGTTTGTTTTTCCTCCTTGTGGTCACAACTTCATCTTCGTATTCTTCTTCATACTCTTGAGCCCACACAGCCTGAAGCCTCCATAGCAGGAGCAGCCAGTGCAGAGAGTGAACCATGACTTTTCTCAGAGGGCTTTGAGTGCAAACATGGAGATTTAAAAATGATTAATAATAAACACATTTTTAAAAATTAGAACTTTCATTTTGCTATAAGTAAAAAAGTTTTCAGAGAAATTGTGGCTGCATACCTTCCAATGTTGCCCCACTATTTAAGCTCTCCTGTCAGTAATGAAAAATATCCAGGGAGACAAAGGAGAACTTCTTCATTCAGGTTTCCATCTGCAGGTTATTTGGGTTCTTCCAGATGTCGGACCTTAGCTGAGAATCTGCTAGAGCCAAATTAGGCAGCACACACTCATTCCAGCAGGATCAGCAGCTAAATAAAAAAATAAAAAAAAAAATAAAAAAGAAGAAAGAAAACAAAAGTTGAGAGCTCACTCCGTCTCTCATGGGACTCCCTCAATTTCAGTCATTGTGATCCTGAGTTAAATGGAAAGAAAGTCCAGCCCTTTTTTTTTCTTCTTCTTAAAACTCTCCCACTCCCTCACAAATGTTTCGGTAGAGCGTGGGGTGTGGAGGAAGAATAAAAAAAAAAAAAGTCCCTCATTATGACTGTTGCATTCACTGTTTTCTCCTCATGCTTTCATGTTTTCATCTGGTGAAAATAGCACCAATAAAAAAAATAAACCCTTGATGCGGAGCTGCTGTTGTTTTTACCTCCATCAGCTGGACAGAATCAGAACAGAACATATTTGGGAATAAAATAAGGAATTTTAGAGAGAGTAAAAACTGTTTTCACCAACAACAACAACAACAAGAGCTGAATGGTACGCTGACTTTTACCATCCAAGCATTCTCTAAACTACTTTATGTTGTGCATTGTAGTCAATATCTGATCACTTTTACTGACATCCCAACAACATTTTGCTACTGTTCAATGCATTTCCAAAAGATGCCGTTTTAAAGATTACAATGTAATTGGAATGCTGTAAAGAAAAGTCAACATAATTATGCACATCAGCTTCTGTTTTTACAAATGCACAACAAGGCCGGTTTTTAATGCGCTAAAAATGTTAAACACCTGAGAAATGTTGCATTTCCATGTTGGTACGTGTAAGTCGTAAATTGGCCAACATGTTTTAGTTCCAAATAATAATTTGGTTTTTCATGTGATCATGCTGTACTGAACTTAGTCAGTGATTAAGAGCTATAATTACAGTACATGTTATTATGTTCTAATAGGAGCTCCACAGTGGTGGCACCATCATGCTTTGTGGATTTTGTTTTTGCACTCTATTGTGAAAAATCATTATATTTAATCAAAACAACAATCTATCTGAATAAAAATATGTGGATCACTTTCATAAATGTAGGTTAAGTAACAAATTTGCTCTAGAAAGTGTTGAATCTGAAACGATTAGTCGGATTCATTGCGATTAATTGATTATCGAAATAATTGCCAACTAATTAAGGAATCTATTAATCGTTAGACGGAGTATACGGATTCAAAAGAAGACATTTTGCTGAAAGAGCAGCATACTCGGAGCAGTAATTAACCCTCCTGTTATGTTCGTTTTTGATGTACAGCAATAATGTAAATGATTTACATTTTTTAAGCCCACTGAAAAAACCTAAACACAAAATTACACTAATTATCCTAGAAAGTGTTTTTTGTAAAAAATTTTATATTACATTTAGATTTTTTTTTTTTTTTTTTTTTTTTTTTTTTTTAAGGGGTTTTTTTTTTTATTTAACTTTACCCTCATTTTTTGGCCTGGTAACAATTACCCCTCTC